TTCATGGGGTCACGAAGAGTCGGACACGACTTAACGACTAAACAACAACAACATCTTGTAAAAACCTGGCTTCTGCAGAAAGCCTTGGGGGATTGATTAGTGTGGAGGCACTGGCAGCAGAAAGCACCAATTATTAATACATATTATATTATTATGCTATATATTGTTTAATTGTATTACTTTATTAATCTGGATGTTGTACATTGCTTAGACTCCATTTGGGCTAAGGCAGTACATACATTTCATGAATCAGTCTCTCTGCCAGGATGTAGGGAGGGCTCCTGAGAGTAGCGCTTTTCAGTGGTAGTCCCCCAAATTTTGAATGACCTTCCCAGTAAGAGATGCTTTATTTTATTTTCAGTGCCAGGCTTTTTATAAATGTGTTGATGCTGCTGCCATATTTTTAACTTTTCATTTCTCCTTGGTTAGCTTATTTCTTATTTTGCTTTACATGCTTATTTTAACCTGTTTTTATTTCTGTTATTTTTTTTGTTATAAAACACTTTGAGGTTTTGTTTTGTTTTTAAATGGGAAGCAGTATACAATTGTTTTAAATAAATGTAGATAAATATCTAATCCCAGAAACTGTTTGATTTAGGAAATCTTGTAAGATTCCTAAAAAATAGCAACATTAGACTGAGGAAAAAAACAACTACTCTAATGCTTGGTGGCATTTAACCATGGCTATATTTAAACAAATTCTTTAAAACCTGGCTCTTCCCCCCATGCCTTGGGTTAGAGTGGGTGACAGACCCTTGTGTTGCATGTTGGTCAATTAGATGGTTGTTGGTTTTTCTGAACTTTTTTTAGGTTACATATATTTTTATTTTTATTGACAACTTGTGAGGCACACAGAATCATGACAGATTGGGGAGGCTTATGAATTTTATAAATAAATAAATTCAACCTTCAGCGATCCATTCATCCTAGACAAAATGGATCATCTAGAATCCATTGCAATCTGATTGTTAATAGCATGTAGATTTTTACTTGTTAGCTGGCTTGATTTCTCTGGAGGAAAGGCAGAAAATAAATATTTGAACAAAAAAAAAAAAACATGAAATCAATTACCTATTATATCTTATTTTAAGCCATCTGAGGAAGATAGTCACCAGAGTTCAGGTGACAAATGTATGGAGAAAATGGATTTTCAGTCCTCCTATTGGCAGTGTAATGTTTATACTCAACAGTAAGATTGTTAACTAATTAAAGAACACTTGTTGGCTTATCAACTTCTTAACAGCTGATTCAATTTAAATAAGCATGTACATTATGAAACTTAAACATACAGTAGATGCCTTTTTGACTCCCTGAAGAAAATGTGAGGTGATTTACAACTTAAGCTATCCATAATTAGAAGGAAGTCAAAATTCATATCTCTTTTTTATTCCCTAAAAGTATAACATGTCCAAAACAAACTAGCCTCCAAAACTAATAAAACAGAAAACTGCTGATTCAGATTTGCCCTCCCCAATTAAAATTGCTCAATACAATTTGTCAAAAAACTTAATTGAATAATTTGCCAGTTAAAATTTGCAGCCTTCTGGTTGGTGTGATTCTGAGGTGTATTGCAGTGATGATAAAACAGTTACACAGAAAACCTATTTATATTACATTTGAGGTATCCTTAAATACATATTTGCTGCATTGCATCTTTACTTATCCCCTGTGCACAGAATCTCAAATAATTCATCTATAATATCCATTAAAACCTTTCTCTTACTATGTTAAATTCAGAGTAGTGGGAGTATGTAAGGGACGGTGATACCCTCAGCAAGCACAAAAGAAACCTGTTCTCCTTTCAACAGGTAATTCTCATTCAACAGCTCACTTCCTGAGCTGTTGTAATGTTAGTCACATATTACACACCAACGTAGTCCTTCTGCAGTCAAAACTAATTTCACGCTCACTGTCCAGGACTAACGGTGACAGATGTTTTGCAAAATGAAAGCCCATTAATCTGACTGTAGAATAATCCATTTTTCTATAGAAAGGACCTGGCAGGCATCTCACAAGTGGGGGATGTGTAAATCAGATAGTACTGGGAAAGAAAACTCTCCTTTCTTTGCCCAATCACAGAGAGGTAGCGGGTCTGGGCCATCCTTCAACCCACCAAATGACTAATTGTCCTCCTTATTTGGTCACTGAGTCTTTCCTCTACCTCATTTTACTCATTAGCCTAATCAGGGGCTATTGCACATTGAATAATGACATACATGATCCCAATTTCATTCTGTTATTGGGCTTTAAAATTCTAGACCCACTTGCGAATTCACGTAAACACTAGATCTAACATACACGCTTTCTTTTTTCTTCCCATCAAGTTAAGGTACCATCACCTTGCAGAAACCATACACATTTGAGAGCTGTAATCATGCCCTCTTAGAGAAAAGAGTTAACTGCATATAAAATTTAAGGCAGGCAAAGAAGATACAATGTAAGCTTTCATGTATTAAAGATTACCAGTCATAGCTATGTCTGTTTTCTATATCCATAGTTTAATTCATATCAAAATGAAATCAATGCAATGTTTTTATAAATTCTAAGCTTATTCTGATGGTAGCAAATGTTCTTTTTCAACTGTTCAGTTTGCCTGGCTTCTTGGTGGGCAGCTCCTGATCCTGACCCTAGAACAAGCAAACATCAAGTGTTCCTGTAGTGTGTGAACATGCATACTACATTCTAAGACTGTTTATTTTTTGCAGAGAAACTGATTTTTAAAAATTGCTAAGCTTACAGTGATGACTTCCAATGACTGAATACAAGACTAATCATCCATCTTCATCCCTAGGAAGTTCCACTGTGTGACAGAGTCACTTGGCTACCTAAATTTAAATCTAAAATGGTCTTACATTGCAGAAGTAAAAAAAAAAAAAAAACATAAAAAGGAGACGTCTTTGAATGAAGTCTTACACTAGAAACTATACCAATCGACCCCTGAGGGTTGCTAAGCTTACTGTTAAGATTTCCCATGCCCTTCCTTTGAGAAGACATGCTTTGAGA